ATAAGACAGAAATGACTGCTTGTGGTCACAGGCCAGGAAAGGAGTAAACACCTCACCCCTTATCATACCACCTTGAAAGAACTGAAAATTTGCAGGTCCCTACAAGTATCTCTGAAAACAGCTGTACAAACCCCTAAAGCTTGGGACAATACATTCTCCACATTTGAAGCAGACTCTTGCCTTAACAAAGAGTTTAAAACCCAAGTAATTGGCTGGGATCATGAGCAAGCAACACAAAAAGAGTCAGACCACTAGAATCTTACTTTGGTGAAAAGAAGATCAAAATATACAACCAGAAGAAGACAACAAAGTCAAAGCTCCTACATCCAAACCCTCCAAGAAAAATATGAATCCATCCCAGGCCTTGGAAGAGCTCAAAAGGGATTTTGAGAAGCAAGTAAGGGAAGTAGAGGAAAAACTGGGAAGAGAAATGAAAGTGATACAAGTAAATCATGAAAAACAAGTCAACAGCTTGCTAAAGGAGACCCAAAAAAATACTGAAGAAAATAACACCTTAAAAAATAGCCTAACCCAAATGGCAAAAGAGGTCCAAAAAGCCAATGAGGAGAATAATGCCCTAAAAAGCAAAATTGGCCAAATGGAAAAGGAAGTCCAAAAGCTTACTGAAGAAAATACTTCCTTAAAAATTAGAATAGAGCAATTGGAAGATAGTGACTTTATGAGAAATCAAGACACAGTAAACAAATCCAAAAGAATGAAAAATTAGAAAACAATGTGAAATATCTCATTGGAAAAACAACTGACCTGGAAAATAGATCCAGGAGAGAGAATTTAAAAATTATTGGACTATCTGAAAGCCATGATCCACAAAAAAAAGCCTAGACATCATCTTTCGAGAAATTATCAAGGAAAACTGCCCTGATATATTAGAACCAGAGGGCAAAATAGAAATTGAAAGAATCCACAGATCTCCTCCTGAAAGAGATCCCCAAAGGAAAACTCCTAGGAATATTGTAGCCAAATTCCAGAGTTCCCAGGTCAAGGAGAAAATATTGCAAGCTGCCAGAAGGAAACATTCAAGTACTGTGGAAACACAATCAGGATAACACAAGATTTAGCAGCTTCTACATTAAAGGACCGCAGGGCATGGAATATAATATTCCAGAGGGCAAAGGAGATAGGATTACAACCAAGAATCACCTACCCAGCAAAACTGAGTATAATCCTTCAGGGGAAAAAATGGTCATTCAGTGAAATAGAGGACTTTCAAGCATTTTGATGAAAAGACCAGAGCTGAATAGAAAATTTGACTTTCAAATACAGGACTCAAGTGGAACATGAAGAGGTAAACAGGAAAGAGAAATCATAAGAGACTTATTAAGATTGAACTGTTTACATTCCTGCATGGAAAGATGATATTTATAACTCATGAGACCTTTGTCAGTATTAGGGTAGTTGGAGGAAAAAAATTATATGTATTTATGTAGATAGATAGATAGAGGGCACAGGGTGAGCTGAAGATTAAAGGGTCATATCTGGAGAATAAAATTAAGGGATGAGAGAGGATTATACTCAGAGAAGAAGAAAGGGAGAGGTAGAATGGGGTAAATTATCTCACAAAAAAAAAACAGAAAAGTCTCTTACAGTGGAGGGGAAATGGGGGAAGGTGAGAGGGAATGAGTGAATCTTATTCTCATAGGATTTGGCTTAAGGAGGGAATAACATACACATTCAATTGGGTATGGAAATCTGTCTTACCCTACAGGAAAATAGGGGAGAAGGGGAGAAGAGAGCAGGGGGATGACAGAGAGGAGGGCAGATTGGGAAAGGGGTAATCAGAAGTAAATACTTCTGAGGAGGGACAGGGTCAAAAGAAAGAATAGAATAAATGGAGGGCAGGATAGGATTAAGGGAAATAGAGTTAGTTTTTCACAACATGTCTACTATGGACGTGTTTTGCATAACTGCATGTGTACAACCTATATTGAGCTGCTTGCCTTTTCAATGAGGGTGGGTGGGGTGGGAGGAAGAGAGAAAATTTGAAACCTAAAGTTTTAAAAACATATGTTTAAAAAAAATGTTTTCACATGCTACTGGGAAATAAGAAATACAGGAAATGGGGTACAGAAGTCTATCCTGCCCTACAGGAAAATAGAAGGGGAAGGGGATAAAAGAAGGGGAGAGAGATAGAAGAGAGGACAGACTAGGGGAAAGGATATTCAGAATGCATGCTATCTTGGGGTGGGGGGAGCGGAGAGATGGGGTGAAAATTTGGAATTCAAAAACTTGTGGGAGTGAATGTTGAAAACTAAAAATAAATAAATTTACCTTAAAAAAAAAAGAATGAACTGAATCCCTGAAAGCCATGACAGATAGAAAGATAGATAGATAGACAAAGACCCAGAGTAGTACATTTAAAGAAAATATCAGTGAAAATTAACAAGATTTAATAGAACCAGAGGGCAAAGTGAAAATAGGAAGAATCCACTGATCACTTTCTAAAAGAAACTTCAAAGTGAAAATACCTAGAAATTGTTGTTGTTCAGTCATTTTTCATTTGTATTTGACTCTTTATGACTCCATTTGGGGTTTTCTTGGCAAAGACACTGGAGTTGTTTGCCATTTCCTTCTCTAGCTCATTTTACAGATGAGGAAACTGAGGCAAACAGGGTTAAGTGACTTGCCCAGGGTCACTCAGTAAGTGTCTGAAGTTGGATTTGAACTCAAGAAGATGAGTTTTACTGACTCCAGGCTGGCACTCTATCCACTGCACCACCTAGCTACCCCCAAATCTAAAACTTTCAAGTCAAAACAAAACTATTGTAAGCAGCCAGAAAGAATTTAAGTCACACAAGACTATGTTGTGACTACTTGAAGAAGAGAAAATCTGGAATATGATATTCAAAAAGGCAAAAGATAAAGGTTTACAATCAAGAATGTCATTCTTTAAAATTGTTTTTAAAGCCTATGGTGGGGGGCAGTAACATTAAGGGAGGGTGGATGGGTCTTAAATAGATTTTCAAGCATTCTTGATTTAAAAAAAAAAAAGGTCACAGCTGAATAGAAACTTTAAAATGCAAACACAGGAGCCCTAAGAAACCTAGGAAAGTAAATACATTTGAAAGGGCTAAATGGTGATTAGGTGCTTATATTCTAAAAAAGGAGAAGAGGCAAATGTTTTATCAGAATGCTGAAGTCTTTAAGGATCACAAACACAGAACCTAGTGGTGAGTTTGTTCTATTATATTAACCTTAAGAGAGAGGAAATAAAAGGGAGAGAAAAGGAATGGGGGGGGGGATGACGATGGAGGAAGAACCTATTTTTTTACATAAAAGGAATGTATGAGAAAAAGAGTATACAAGCATAGAAAGGTGGGGCAATGGGTATTTCAAGATCTTAACTCATTTGTATCTGAAATGTACAAAGGAGGCTTAAACATATACACATAAACACATGCAGTTTGATACACAAATATGTTAAACTCAATGGGGAAGCAAGCATGGGCAGGGAAAGAGGAGAGAACAGTTATAATGGGGAGGAAAGTCAGAGAGGAAAATAGTTACAAACAAAATCAACTTCACCTTCAGAAGATCATAAAGGGAAGACTTAAAAGATAGAGCTTATAAGAATCAGAAAACAGAGTCTGGGCTTGGTGAAGAGAAGAAAGGCAAAGGAATAGGAACAGTCCACTTCAGTTATCAATGTCTGGTTTGATAATTACTTCTGTTTTTTCACCCCTTTCTTCTTTGTAAAGAGGGAGAAAAATAAACAAGGTTAGAATGGAGCGAAATATACCTAAGTCACCTGTATAATAGAAGAGGGTAGCAGATGTATCAGAAAGCAGAAACCATCTTGAAAAATAAAGATTCACAGGCACTGGGAGCAGAATCTATTATGCTTCAGGAAGATTCAAAAAAGCAGGGGTAGTAATCATAATTTCAGACAGGCAAAACTGAAAATTGATATGGTTAAAAGAAATAAGCAAAGAGGGGCAGGTAGGTGGCACCGTGGATAGCGTTCCAGCCTTGGAGTCAGGAGGACCCGAGTTCAAATTTGACCTCAGACACTTGACACTTACTAGCTATGTGACCCTGGGCAAGTCACTTAACCCCAATTGCCTCACCCAAAAGCAAAAAAAAAAAAAGCAAGGAAATTACGTTATGCTTAAAGACATTGTAGATAATTAAATAATATCAATGGCTAATATATGTGGACCAAATGGCATAGCATCTAAGTATTTAAAGGAAACATTAATTGAATTTTAGGGGGAAATAAGCAGCAAAACTAGAATAATTGGGTCTTTAATATGCCCTTTTCAGGCTTAAACAAATCTAACAAAAAGACAAATAACAGAGTAGGGTCTGAATAGAATTTTGGAAAAATCTCTCATGATTAACAAATGGGAATAGAAAGAAATATACCTATTTCTCAAAAACTTTGGAGTCAGCTCCTGCCTCTTGGTCAATCTCTACATCAAATCCATCTAATATTTAGTGTTCTAAAACAGAAACTTTTATCCTGCATGCATTAGCCTTCTCTATCGACAAAGATAAAACAGATAGGAAAAAATGAAGTCCTCAGATAATTGGAAGATCCCCCAAAATGTTTCTAACCTGCTATATATTTTTTTAAAAATTCCTTTTTTAACCAGTGTGGTACAGTGGAAAGAACACTGGTTCTGCAATCAAAGAACTTGGATTTAAATCCTACCACTGATTCTTGTTTTTGTGTGACCTTGGGCAAATTACTTAACCTCCCTGGACCTCAGTTTCCTCATCTGTAAAATAAAGGGACTTGAACTAGTCAACCTCTAAGATCTCTTCTATTTCTATGATACTAAGCATATTTTTTTCATCCTACTCTAACCTGAAGCAGCCTAGTATTTTTAACCTAGTGAGGTAAGCCAGAGTCCAGATTTTAACAATTAGCACAGGGAGAATTGCATTAAGGGTTGCTGACCCACAGCAGATTTGACAAACAATGAATACTTTTAACTTGAATGAGACAGCTCCAATGAGATTCCAGCTGAGGAGACTCAAGCTACTGATTGGCTAGGGAGGATAAAAATCTTTGTAGAAATTCAAGTAACTTGATTAACTCAATGGCCGGCACAGGTATCATTGGACAAAACAACATCTTCTTTTTAACATTTGTCTTCGGTTGAGAGTTTGGAGATGAAAATTGATATCCACAGTCATATTTTGCCTAAAGAATTGCCTGACCTGAAAAAGGTAACTTTCAACGACCTTGCTGAACTCTTATTCAGCTCTGTGATTTCTCCATGTTTATGTAATAACGCTCTCTCTTTCTGTAGGAATAAGATGTTGGGTTTCCTTAATTTTGTGTGATTTAATTGTTATTGATTCTAAATTTGTTTTCCATGCCTCTGAAATTTGTTTTGAGAAACAACTCATGAAGGAATCAGAACTTTACTACTTTTCAAATTATTATTATCATTATTATTATTACTGGCACATTTCACCCCTGTGGATCACAAATCTGTCTAGCAGGAGTCAAGCCGCTTTATTTGGTTTAAATCAGATTGTAAATGAACAAACAGATGCAGAGGGATGAGTCACAGCTGCAGAATTGAAAATCGGGATTTTCAAATAAATGACCATCAAATTCATTTGCGTAATCTTCCCAGAACATTAAAAGTCTGGCAGTTTTACAAGGTTTGGGTAATAGTTTTTAGAGAGAGGTACACGGGCTTTTCATCTTTTGCCCATGGCTTTTGGCAGAACTTCAGATGATAAGATTAGGAACTGAGAGTGGTCTCCTAGATTGTGGAGTCCAACGTTTTCATTTCACAGGTGGGGAAAATGAAAGCCTAGGAAGGTTGGTCTGCACCAGGTCAGACAGAAAGAAAGTCATAGAACAAGGATCTGAAACCTGTTTTCTGATTCTTTATGCAGAAAACCTAGGTTCAAATCTCAGCTCTTCTTTCTGGGCAGTGGTTTTTCCCCATCTGGAAATGAGGGGGCTGGATTCAACACCCTCGGAGTCTAAAGTCTCTGCCAACTCTCAATCCTACTCCTGTGTAGTTTGCCTTTCTGTTTGCCTTATGCTTGATAGATTGGTTATGAAGAATAAGGAAGCTACAACCTCAGAAACTAAAATGAAGCACATATCCTTTGTAAAATGGGTTTGTCTAAAGAGTACAACGTGGGGTTTCCTAAAGTCCAAAATTTGCCTTTTGTTTTTTCACAATGAACTTGTGAATAAATGTTCCTTATTAAACAGGGAAGAGAAGCAGTTTTGGTTTTTTTTTTAATTAAGTTAAAATAGTTTTCAGCTTAGTTCAAGCTGGGAAAGCCTTTCTCTTTTTAAAATACACTATGCAATCTTCTAGAACTTTTACGCCACTGAGAATAGTCTACCTCCTCTAATCCATGTTAAGAAAAAAAAATAATTAATTAATTTAAAATTTTAATGAAATTAATAAAAAAAATAATTAACTCCAAAATCTCATTTAAATTTTATTCCAGGCACAAGTTAACTTGTTTTTCCCTATCCATGTGCTCTGGAGGATTGGTAATCCTAATTTTCTTTTATATAGTGATACAGGCGAAAGCTTAAACTTTTACCTACCTCTGAGAATTAATTATTCAGGAGCATGTGGCTCCCTAATACTAGCAACCAAGAGATTAAAATTCTGAAATGATCCCTTTTGAAATGTTGTAGACCAGAGCTAGGAAAAGAATATAGAAAACAACTCTAACAACACATGAGAAAAAGGGAAAAGAAACTGAAAACAATGAAATTATGACCTAAAAGTTTGGCCCTAGAGAAGAGACAAGAAAATGTACCTTCCTCTCTTCTTTACAGAAGTGGGTGACCATGAGTGATATATTGCCTATCCTGCCAGACTATGTTGAAGGATGTTTGCTCAAATGCTTTGTTTTTCTCTTTCTTTTTTAGTTTCAAATGAATTTGATGTATAAACAAAACATAAAGTAAAAATATATTTTTAAAAAGCTACAAAAGGAGCTGTTAGGTGGTGCAGTGGATAGAGCTCCAGCCTTGGAGTCAGGAAGAGCTGAGTTCAAATGTGGCCTCAGACACATGATACTAGCTATATGACCCTGGGCAAGTCACTTAATCCTGATTGCCTCACCAAAAAAAGAACAACAAAAAAAAAAGAAAGAAAGAAAAGCTACAAACCTTGACTCTTCTACATTTCTGTAACCATCATCAACAGAAGTCTTTGAAAGTTATTTCCTCCCTACCATCTTCCCAGCTAATAACAAAAACCAAACAAAAATAGTGTGGTTGTGACATCTCTGCTGAGAACTTTCTCCTTAGGGTCCTTTTGCCCCAGTTGTATATTCCTGAAGGATAAGTAGACTCTCTTTGATATTAATGATTCATCAAATACAAGCACCAAAAGCTCTCAATTCATAAGTTTTTGAGGCAGGAGCAGTTAGGCGTGTTTGCTTGGGGGATAGTATTCAGTGCATTTAGAACTAGGAAATATTAGTAATTTTATTGGAACATCACAGTGGTTTTTTTTCTTTTTTCCTTCAATAGCTTTAGATACTAGGAGGATCTGGTTTGATTCATACAAAACACCAAGAACAATAAGCAGTGAATTCAGTTCTCTCCAGGGGAGTCCAATGCCACCAAATTCCAAAGCTAGATTCTAGACGCCAGACTTTCATGCAGGGTTTAAGACCTCTCATGTTGCAAGGACCCACCCATTGGGAAGTAAATCCTAAGAACTCCCAACAACAGCTCCCTCTCATTATCCTGCCCCGAAATATCACACAGGTGAGAGTCCCTGAAATGGTCCACAAGATCTGTCATTGTTGATTGCCTCCCAAATGTAGAGAACCAGAAGAACATTTACATAGAATCTGCAACATTTCAGAAGCAGAAAGAAGATGAGAAAATCCCAGGCCCCACATTGCTCAGGTCGGGGAGCTGATGGCAGTGGTTTTAACTGATTTTTAAGTACCAACCCTCATTTGAGGAGAAGGGAAGAGGGTCAAAGACTCTCAAGAACAGGGCCCAGAAGTAGGAGTTGTGCCAATTTATCATTTAACAAGGCACTGAAATGGCCCCTGCCTCCAAATTTCTCCCCAATAATGCTGGAAAAGCTTTGCTTTGTACCTGCCTGAATTCTTTTTATTAAAGAGCCATTTGCTAAGGATATTTTTAAATGCTCTGAGAAGAAAACATAATCCATTTTAAGAACCTGGTAATACTTAACAGTCATTCATATCTTAATATGGATGAATTTACTCTGCTTGCTTTCCTCCTAACCTTTAGCTGAGGTTGTACACTGAAGGAATAAGAATTTTTATAGGAAGAGATGCTATGTGCTATACAAAGCATACATGGGCACTTCATAAATAATTGAAAGGAAAAAAAAATCCTATATACATCAGGAGTCTAGGGTCTTAGTCCAGGCTCTTCCATTAGCTCAAGGTGTGACCTTGGCCAAGCCATCATAATCATTATCATTGCAATCATAATAGTTAACATTACATAGAGCTTGCCATGTGCCAAGCACTGTGCTAAATACTTTACAATTATTATCTCAGCTGATCCCCACAACAACCCTGGGAAGTATGTGCTATTATTATTCCCATTTTATAGATGAGATAACTGAGGCAAACAGAGGTTAAGTAACTTGCCCAAGGTCCCACAGCTAGTGTCTTTATCGCCTCTGATCTGTAAAATGATGGATGGGAACTTTATTAGATATAAGTTCTTTGTGGTTTTAAAGCTCTATGATTCCAGGGAAGAAAATCATTTTGGAACAGGAATGCAAGAGGGAATGGAAAGTAAGCCTGAGTCAGATAATTTAGGAAAGGACTTTGAACAACTGACTGGTAGCATGAGGACACTGAGTAACTGTAGGGCAGTGTGGAAAACAGATCTTACCTCATTGATAAGTAGCCAGTGCCAGGTGTCCGAGGATACTCAGGTAGGAGACTGTAGAGATGTGACTTTGTTGATTTTCTTAAGAGAGGTAGTGCCAGGATATCAAATGTAAGAATAAGAAGATAGTCAAATGTGACAGAATAAAGTGGATGAAGATGACTAGGCAATTCTGCTTCTCCTAACCCTTAGAAACATTCTAATTGAGGCATTCGGGAGTAATGGGTTGGGCATTGGACTTGGAGTTAGGAAGACCTGGAGTCAATTTCTGCCTTAGACACATTAACTGTGTGACCTTGGACCAGTCATTTAGCTCTGCATACCTTAGTTTGCTCAGTTGTAAAATGAACGGTTGGATTCAATAGCCTGTAAGGTCTCTTTCTGCTCTAAATCTATGATTCTATGAGCTACTTTCTCTGATTCTTGTCAATGGGAGCAGTTACTGAATGAGTTATAAGATAAGCTAATCCACATAATCATAGACAAGTCACTTAAACTCTGTGAGCCTCAAGACTGTAAGTCATAGACTTATGTAACCAGAAGAGATTTTATTTTGGGGGATCTTATTCCCATAAGCTGATGGGGGCAGAGTGGATGGAGAGAAAGTCACAGCTGTATGCCTGGAACAATTTCCTCGATACACACAATACTGACCTCATGTCCAATTTTCCCCTGTTCCCTTTCAATCATGACACTAAATGGCATTGTGTGACTAGCTGCTTTCATGTCCACTGCCTCTGCTGATTAGCACCCCATACTAGTGAAGAAAGAAGTAGAAGGAAAAGAATTTGAACCCGGGTAACCTGACTGCAAAATCAGTAGGCTTTCCATTTGCTCATCATCACATATCATCTGTGTGTACTAGACCTGTATTAGAATCCAGACTTTTTTTTTCCTTTTCCCCTACTTCCACCCCCCACCCTAGAGATGGCTACCATGATACAAGTGTGTGTGTGTGTGTGTGTGTGTGTGTGTGTGTGTGTGTGTGTGTGTAAAATCATTATATACGTACTTCTATTTATCAGTTCTTTCTCTGGATGCAAATAGAAATTTACATGGTAACTTTATATACTTAAATGGAATAGCAAGTCATACATAATAATTTGTAGGTTCATGTACAATCATCTTTTTTATTATACTATGTTATGGAAATGCTTATTTTATTCCATAAATTAAAATTTTAATAAACAAAAATTTAAAAAAAGAATCCAGATCTTCTATTAGTCTAGTCCTTTTTGTACCATGATATTTCAATATATCCCATAACGTTCTCCTGAATGTCTTCTATGTCAGTCCACAAAGAGTTTTTCTTCAAAGACTTACTTCAGTTGGCTTTCCAAGCAAT